AAAATAAAGAAAGAGGAATTGAATTGAATTATCCTTGTTTGCAGAATGTAATTCTATACATATAAAACCTTAAAGACTATAGCAAAAGACTTTTAGAACTTATAAATGAATTTGCTAAGGATACAAAATTAGCATACAAAAAATCAGTAGCTTTTCTACACACCAATAAGCAACTTACTGAGAAAATAAGGAAGGAAATGCCATTTTTATAATAGCCACACACAAAATAATAAGAAAAACAGTAATAAACATAACTAAGAAAGATCTCCACAATGAAAATCACAAAATACTGAAAAAAGGAATTGAAGAAAATACTAAAACATGAAAATGCATCCCATGTTCATAGATTGGGAGAATTAATACTGTGATAAGGGCCAAACTACCAAAGCAATCTACGTATCAATGAAATCACCATGACAATATCAATGGCATTCCTTGTGAAACTAGAAAGTAAAATACGAAAATCGATTGATTTTCTGAGGAAAATGTCCAATTCTGGAGGCCTCACTATACCTCATGTCAAAACATTCTACAGAGCCATAATAACAAGAGTATATTATTAGCATAAAGCATGAAACAGAATAGAACACCCAGAAATAAAGCTATACAGTTTCAGCCAAGTGATTTTCAACAAAGCACAGAAACATACATTGGGAAAAAGACAACCTCTTTAATAAATTGTATTGGGAAAACTGAATATTTGCATGTAGAAGAGTTAAATGAGACCAATATATCTCCCTATAAAAAATCAATTCAAATAGATCAAAGAATTTAATATAAAACCTGAATATTTGAACCTACTACAGAAATACATAGATGATATACTTCAAGATATTGGCACAGGTAATAATTTCCTGGATAGGAATCCAGTACCCAGGAACAAAAGTAAGGATTGATATATTGGACTGCATCATATTAAAAAATTTTTTAAAATCTTCTAACACCAAAGGATTAGGTCAACACAGTGAAAAGACAACTGCTAAAATGGGATAAAATTTTGTCAGCTATTCATTAGCCAACCCAAATAATCCAAACAATAGATGGACAAATAATCTAAATAGATGCTTTACAAAACAGGAAGCACGAATGCCAATACATACATGAAAATATGCTCAAAGTCTTTAGTCATCAGGGAAATGCAAATAGAAACTACAAACAGCAAACCCTGGTGAGGTTGCAGAGAAAATGAAAAACTTACCCTTTGCACTCTCTTTGGAGTGAAGAGGCATTAACCCAGTCCACAAGCTCAGCTGGCAAGGGGCAAGGTGGGTGGCTGTGACAATCCTCCCATTCCTAGGCATTCACAAAGAACCCACTAATGAGAGTAAAGCCCAGCTTGGGGCAATCTTAGCACAAGCTGGGGGACAGGGTGGCTCAACCCCACACTGTCTTTCTTGTTACATTTCTTTTGACTTGAACTGAGAAAGAAGACACTGAAGACCTGGAATCCACTACTCCTCTGCCCCCTACTTTCCCAATGGTTGCCAAAATTACAAGTCTTAGAGAATAGTATCTCATTGCCTCCATTTCAAACATCTAAGCAAGAAGGAATGTTTGACTTCTTAAAATACTTTGATTTTACTGTTTTCCCTTGCTATTTTCTTCATACCTTATCTAAATATATCTTTTATTAATTATTTAATTTATATCTTTTCCTTATCACTTTATTCCTTTTTCATATTAATTTTATTTTCACTAATGTATACATTTTTAGTTTATTCTATATTATCTTTTCCCTTCTCTGTGGTTAACAGGGTTATAGATGCTGTTATTTTAATATTTTTATTATCATTTATTATGTCTATATTTAGTTTGCTTTTAGATTGATGTTGCTGTTGGCTGGTTCCTCTGTCAAAGCAGTGTCCAGCACTTTGAAATGTAGAGTGGATACTTTGCCACTGAGATACACTCCCAAACTATTTGAAGGATGCTGTACCTTACTCCTTCCACAGCCTAATTTTTCCTCACACATACATAGATTCCTCAACATAAAGAATAGGCAAGAAGAGCTGGGTACCATTTCCTCACACATATAATCCTAACTACTCAGGAGGCAGAGGTCAGGAGGATTGAAGCCAGTCAGGGAAAATAAGTTTCTGAGACCCTATCTTGAAAATATCTAACACAAAAAGGGCTGGTGGAGTGGCTCAGAGTGTAGGCCCTGAGTTCAAGCCCTGGTACCACACAAAACAAAAAAATATATAGGCAAGATGGTAAGAGATCAAGATGGTAGATTAGTGGGACCCACCAATAGCTAGCATCACTAGAGAACAGCACCAGAACTGAAGGTAGGTGATGGCAGAAAGGCATTGAATATTCAGTAACAAACAGACAGAACCTAATTTTTTACAGACACAGAGAATATGGAGAACAGAGTGGAGGAAGAGAAAGACTGTGATAGTGTGTACAGTGTACAGTGGCTGTGTAGTAGAAAGTGAGGGATGACATGAAAGGAAGAATGAGAAACAGAAAACACAATTAATATTGACTGCTTGTGTAGAGGTCAGGCTTGTTCTTCTTTCTTAGTTTCCTTTTCAATTTTCCTATTCCCACATTATGAAATACATACACTCTACTCACCCATCCTCAGTCTTGCTGTATCACTATAACACATAAGCATGAGATATGAAAACCAACTGGTATCAAAGAAATTATTCAAAATAGTTGTGTGTGTAAACTCCTTTATTCATGGTACCCTATCTCAAATCTTTGCAAAAATCTATATTTCCTGTCAATTTTACTTTCAATTTTCAATATTTTTCTTATAAGAAAGAAGTGCAAAGCTATAAACACATAAAACATAATTGTGAACAAGCAGCATCTGTTCTATACATTATCCTTTACTAGCAGTATAAAGATACTGATAAGGGTGGCATGTAAGTTTGAACCAATAGAATATTAAACATATCAATAAAATATTTCCAATGTTGTGAACACTGTATTACAAACCTTTACCTTGCCCAAGATTAGAAACTATTTCTGGCATATGTATTCTGGCTCTAACTCTGCTGTTCAGTATGAAAATCTCTCTATGTTAAAAATATAAAACTCAAAATTTATTTTCTTTAAAAGCATGTCATAATAAAATGAATGAGAAGTTCTAGTAATCAGTATGGAAGTTCCTCAAAAAAGTTAAAAATAGATCTTACATATGATTCAGCCTTACCACCCATGTTTATCACAGCACTATTCACAATAGGCAAATTATGGAATCAGCCTAGATGCCCATCAATCAATGGATGAGTGGATAAAGAAAATGTGAGATATCATATATATATATATATATATATATATATATATATATATATATACACACCTTATATATCATATATATATACCATATATATCATATATATACCATATATATCATATATATGTGTGTGTTGTGTGTGTATATAAAATACAGTTTTGTCAGCCATAAAGGAGAAGGAAATTATGTTGTTTGCAGGAAAATGAATGAAACTAGGGATCAGTATGTTAAGTGAAATAAGCCAATCTCACGAATACAGGTATTGCATGTTTTCTCTCTTTTGTTGTAGCTAGAGGGAAAAAATACAAGGTCACGAAAGTAAATGGAAGATTACTTGGGGTGAGGGGAGGGATGGAAGGGAAAGAAAAAAGGGAAGGGGAATAAGAAACAGTTATAGGTGGTAAATATGATCAGAGTATATTATTTGCATGTGTGGAAATACATCACTCTATGGCGAATGACTTATGAGGTCATGATGATAATAAATATGCTTCAAAGTTGGCAGGTTGTTGAAAACCGCAATTTTATTTCATCTTATCAAAACATAATGTGCTACATAAACTAGAGTATGAGAAATTTTGCTTTATAAAATCTGTGAATTTTTAGATAACTCATTTTTTACTTTAGGGTCAATACAGCAATCAGAAATGAACTTAGTGTATATTTTTTGGAGTGAGAGAGAGAGGTCACTCTAAAGCATGTTTGCTCATCCTGCCCTTACCAATATTATATGGGAGCCTGCATGGAAGAACAGTGGAGTGAATTGAACATGACTGAAACTAAGAATCAGGGTTCACCATTTTGAACTGATGATACATTGCCAATTTACTTATCTTGTGTCTTCATTTTCGATAGGACTAAGCCATATAATCAGTTGAGGCTTGTTTTCTTCTTTTCCTTTCCTGCTCATTAATAAATATACTATTAAGAGCTTCAAACCCTAAGATCTTTAATTCTTGATATTCTCGTGAGTTGTTCTCTTGATTCCAATACTATTATCATTTGTGTTCCCTTATTTTTTCCTATACTGCTCATTAGACTTCAAATATCTTTCAAATATCTCCTTGTTAATGTAATTGGTTGTCTTATTTCATCAGCATTTAAAATTTGGTGTTACAATTTTATTTTATGTATTTATTCTTATTTTGTAACCCATGATAAGTGACATTATGCTTACATGTGTTTCAAATTAAGTATATATCTGTTAATTGAAATTCTGCTCTTATATATGAAAAAGAAATAGCTAATACATATTATTAGTACTGGTGAAGATGTCTACATTTGTTCAATTCTGATAAATACTATATTCCTATTGTTATCTCCTTTTCCAATTAGTTTAGTTGAGCTAGAATGTCTTATTTGGTTTAATTTATTTTTAATATGTCTCCACTAGTTTCTGTTGTTTTGATTCTTGGTTTTGTGATATTAATTATGATAACTTTGATTTATAAGAGGAAGCTAGATTCTTACCACATACTTTAATTCATAAATAATTTATAAACTTTTAAATTTTATCACTGTTCTTCCTTTCCTAAATCAATGAAGAAAAAAAATTGGAAAAAAGTTTAAATTCTTGGAAATGCCTGTTTAGTTTTACAATGAGGGAAAACAGTATGAGTTTGGTTTGAAAGAAAAAAGTTTGATAAGGTTGACATCAGGATAAAATATTAGTTATTGAAAAGGTTGATCTGAAGGAATTGCAGAATGGAAATACGTTAGAACTTAAAGTAAAATAGTTGGGGAACTTCTTTCATTTTACTCTAATTCTGCAAAACTTCTTCTTTGACAGAAATGCAATCTTCATCATAGAGTTATTGAAAGTGTGTTTCTCTTGCTTGTTCCTCAGGGTATAAATGAAAGGGTTTAACAAAGGTGCAACAGAAGTAGTGAGAACTGAAACTCCTTTATTTATGGTCTCCTCTTCCTTTGCTGATGGCTTGATGTAGATGAAAATATAGCTTCCATAGGTGAGGGAAACCACAATCATGTGGTACGAGCAGGTAGAAAAGGCCTTTTTTCTTTGCTGCATAGAAGGGAATCTCAGAATTGTCCTGATGATGTTTGTGTAGGACAGAACCACACAGACCAGAGTAATAATGAGTGCAAACACAGCCATAAATATTACTATTTGTTCTATCACCCATGTGTCTGAGCATGAGATCTTTAAAATGGGACTTGCATCACAGCTAAAATGGTCAATGGCATTGGAGTCACAGAATTCAAGCTGCAGGCCCAAACTAAGTGGTAGAACAATGATCATCAAGCCAGCTACCCAACAGGAGAGGACTATTAAGATACACATCTTGTGACTCATTATGGTCATGTAATGCAGGGGTTTACAGATGGCCACATAGCAATCATAAGACATGGCTGCTAACAGAAAAAATTCTGTTGCTCCAAACAGAATAACAAAGAATATTTGACTTGCACAAGCATTGTAGGTAATGGAATTGTCTCCACTTGATACACTGTACAGGAATCTAGGAATACAGACAGTGGTAAATGAAACTTCTAAGAAGGAAAAATTTCTGAGGAAAAAGTACATAGGTGTTTTAAGGTGGGGATCCACCAATGTGAGGGTGATAATAGTCAGGTTCCCTGCAACACTCAACATGTAAGTGAGAAATAGAAAGACAAAAACCAAAACTTGCAGTTGTGGGTCATCTGTCAGACCCAGGAGAATGAAGTTGTTATAGTTGTGTGGTTTCTCATCACTGGCCTTCGAAAATAAGGTTTTGTGAAGAAGTAGATGTCCAAGTTCAATAGCAAAAGGCTGTACATTTGGAAGCCAAGAAACCAAGCTACATTTATTTTTTGCCTTTACATCATAATCAATATTGTCACTACCTACATTTTCCATCTATGAGCAGTGTAAATTTCCTAAAGGCTTCATGTTACTGTAAAACAACACAAATTTTTGTTGCTTATTTGTTGTCTCTGAGAATTTTCATATATAGTTAGTTTAATTACATAGTTAGGATTTGTAAGTGGGTTATAGAAAGGTGATGGCATTTCATGGGCAGTTAACAGTTCTTTGTCCAAGAGAAATTCTGGCTGTAGGGCACATCTAAGTAATTAAGAATGTGAATTCTCTTCAGTAGTACCTATCTGGAGACTTTTTTAAGAGTAAGATGCATTTCTCCTAGGAAAACAAAACAAAAAACAGAAAATGACAGCAACAAGGTTCCTTATATTCAAAATCATACTTTTTGAGTATGGATAGTTTGACATACAGTTATTTTAAAATGTTATGTTCAAGATATTTACAAAGGAATATTCTTAAATGCTTTCAGTTATTTGATTTTGGTCTCTTTTCTCTCAAAGCAATTGGAGCTAGACTACATTTACTATTACTACATTTAGTCTCCTAGGCTGTGCCTTCATTCATTATGTTTTAAATTTACTTCAAAAGACATTATATCTTCTTTTCAGCTCACCCCTGCCCCCTCACCCCATCTTCAACTTAGGCTTTAACCATCTATGCTGTGACTTTCACTCCAACTCTGTAGCTGTCCTGTCACCTATAAAACCTTCATTTCTGTTGAAGCCAATGGCGTGTTTTACTTTTTATCCCACCTGGCATTGCCACAGCCTTAGAAAAATAAAGTTTAATCATGTTTTATATGGACTGCATACGACCATTCTGATTTTCCCCCTAGCTTTAGATACCTATTTTTCTGTTCATCTTTTAAGACTTCTCTTTTCTCTATTCATATGTGAAGTATTGGTGCTCCCCTGTATTCTATATTCAGACCTCTCACTTAATGGTTTTCTGTTTCTCTTCTTTCTCTATACTCTCCCTGCGTCATTTTAGCGAGTTCAATTTATCATTTATATGATGTATTCCAAAGGCCAGATCTATTCCCCATAAAAAACATTGCTCAACATATGGGTCATTGCTTTCTGTCTGCTGAGGATGGTTTCCAGGACCCCATTGCAGATACCAAAATCTGTGGGTGCTCAAAACATGACCAGGTGGATATTCTACAGATACCTCAATTACCACATGCTCTAAATGAAGTCATTCCTCTGCCAACACTTATCTTCTTCTGCTATTAACTATTTCTTGATGAAGATTAATCTCTTTTGTTTAATCTTCAAGACTCTTTATGAAAAGCATCTTCCTTTATTTTCCTATTACATCACTTGCCATTTTCTTACCTTTCTTCCATATGGCTTAAGTTCCGTTGGCCACTTGGAATTTTTCATGTTTTCTGCATAGTCTCTGCTCTATATAGGCTATTGAGTGACTAATGCCTATTAGTCCTTACACACTCTGAGAATGTGAAATTATGCCTCTGTATTTTTTGAAGCTACTATTTGCTTACACTGTCTTTGAAAATATTATATTATATTATGTTGTACACTGTAATAATCCTTGTGTATATTTCTGTACATTTCTCTAAGATAGAGAAAATATTTTATATGCCTTTAAATTCCCTTATATCTAACATATATAGGTTGCTTAGTAAATTAGGGAGAAACAAAACAGAATTATCTGTATCCTGAGAGTGAGTCATATTTTTTAATGCCTATTCTAGTCAATTGGTTCAAAGTTCCTTCACCAGGAAGTAGGAGAGTGAGGTCAGATGTTAGTAGAGAAATTAGAAACTAGAATAATTGTAGTATGATCAAATTTCATGTACATGTGAACAGTGAGAATCACCAAAGCAATTAAAGAAGTTTATTGCTCAGCCTCAACATCATCTACACACCCATCAGTGCTGTTTATTATACCATAAGCAGTCATCTAACATATATTTGTATTGTAATTTAGATGCAAATGAAGGATGACTATTAAATGGCTTCTTTTACTTGTAATGCAAGTCTTATTTTGTTGATGTCATCTCTGATCATTATGGGGTGTTCTTCAGCAAGAAGAAAAGAATGTTCTGCCTGTAAAGTAGTAACTACTTTTAGTCTCAGCCAGCATTGATTATTTATCACAGTAGCAATGAACATGTATATTTTCTGAAAACACAGTCTGTAGGACTCTTGGTATTTCTCTATCATTGAATAAAATGATATTTCTCCCAGGAGATAACAATTACTTTGTAATATAAATGATGTTTAACTCAGTTTGCTTTTTAAAAATTCCTGCAAATACCATGAGTCCTCTGGATCAGGTAATTAAATTTTTTGTTTCTAGAGACATATGCCTTATAAAATTCCATGAAGTACATATAGTATAGCTCAGATTGCTTTCAAGGGGCCACCACAAGGAAAGAGAATTAAAGCAGAAAATTAAGAGAACTTGTGTAGACCTGGCCTGACTTGGATGAAGTAAAAATTAATGTACTAATAATGTACTATACCTTATGCTTTGAACTAATTCTCTCCCAACTACTTTAGAACCACAAAGTGCAATGAGTTAAACAAGCTATGAAGTAACTTATCATCTTATTTTTCATAAATCCCCCTCTAAAGACACACCAGGCAAAAATACATTTTTTCAGCTTTGATAATTCTGTGTAGTGTATCATGAACAACTTTCTCTCAATAGGGAATGATTTGTCTCACTTAGATATGAAGGGAACAATTTCATTGACCTAATAGGAGAAATTGAATTACTTCTATTTTAAAATTTTCATCATAAAGAAGTGTTTATGACATACATAATGTTGAACTTTTAAATAATGTAATATTCTTTGGTATATGTTTCAAGGATTTTGAAATCATACTTCTGTGTCTTTTAAATTGCATTGCAAATTACTGTGTATATGAATACACATAGACTCACAAATATTTTCTGGCTATGACTTCAGCATTGTCAAAGAGCTATTGAATAGTTTTAAAACATGTCAACTACAATTTTCCATATTAAATAGTTGAAACAAGAGTAACAAAATTATGGAAGAAGGCACCAAATAGAAATTTTCCCCTTATCTCTCAAAAGAGAAAGTAATTCTTCTATCTATTTACATTACTTACTCTTTTGATAATTTTTTGTGGTTTTGGCTGGCAGGTCCTTAGTGGTTGAACTGTGCTGTGTTGTGAAGATGTAATTTGAACTGTTCTAATGCGATTGTCTAATTTTACCCTTAGGCATTTTGGGGAAGGCCTTGAGTTCTTCTAGTTTCCAAGTTTCACATCAGATGTTTATATCTTTAGAGTTTTCTTATTTTAAACTTTGAAAACATTTTCTCTTTCTCCATCATGACTGTATAAAGTATATGATGTAAAGGAGGAAAACAAAAGTATCTGGGTTGAGAAGATTGGATATTCTGATCTTATCCAGCAGGCACTTAACATTTCTACTCCAGAAATAATGATATTTATGTTTTCTGCTCTATCGATTGTAGATGCAGTGGGATTACCTGAATGAATAAAATGAAGTATCCTTAGTGAACAGGTTCAAAAATGACTAATGAACACTCTGTGTAATTAGCTTTTAGAAAGCAACTGAAATAGACGACAACAGACACACTCTCCTTTGAGACACTAAGGTAGAAAGTAAATCAGCATCCTACAGAGGCCAGGGCCCATTCTAAAGGAAAAAAAGTGAAGAAATCTGATCCAGTTCTTTACATACTTTCTGAGGATTTATGTATGCTTGTTTTTGATAAAATATTTTGATTACCTAATTCCCCTTGACTTAATATTTAGCAAAATATCTACCACATATGAAATTCATGTTGATAAAATGACTTATGTATACACGGGTATTTTAAAAACAATTTTGTTAATCACAGAAAAATTTATTTACATTTGAAAAACAGGAAGGGATGCATAAGTCAGACATTACTCTGTCTGCAGACAATGTTTTGTAAGACTGCCACTATTTGGACGATTTTCAAAAACAGTTCACATAATTAGCAACCACTGGTTTAATGGATTCGTGCCTGGAGATGTCTGCCTCTAAGACTATTTAAATAAGTGTATTTAAAAGGATCATCTCAAAATGACTATGAATGATTAAAAATATACAAAATTAAGGTTTGGAGAACTGGTTAAAACTGTTCTTTTCATCAGTAACAAAGGGAAATTAAAATCATAGGTTCTGTGTAAATTTTTTTGGATAATATTATTGTTTCCTATGTGTATATATTATGTTTCCTTCCTAGTATTCATTGTCAAGTATCTGTATAGTTTATGCATTTTTATATTATATAACATGTACACATATCTGCATTAATGTATTTATATGTATATATAACACACTGATGCATATATTAATATGTGTGGGTAAATATGTACGTACATGGTATGTACACATATCACAATATGTGTGGGTAAATATGTATGTACCATGTATGTAGTACCTCCATGTTAATTTTATATGACATATTTTTATATCACAATATCATTTAAAAAATAAGTTTAAGTATACACATTATGGGGTGCAGTACAATAATTTGATATATGCATGCAGTACATAATGATAAAATCAAGAGATTTAAGAGATTTAAAATCTTCATTTCCTTAACCTCTTCAAAAGTTTTGATTAGCCTGTATTTTTATTTTACACACTGTGCTACTTCAATACATGCATACAGCTTATGTTAGCCAATCAAGATAATTAGTGTTTCATCTTCTTGTCATTATTCTGTCTTTGGAACTTCTCTCTCTTCTGGTTATTCACAAATGGATAACAGATTGTTGTGAACTATAGTTCTCCCCACTGTTCTGTCAAACACTAGGACTTAATTTCTATGTGTGTTTGGGAACCAGTTGTCCAGCTACCCCACAATCTTCCCCTGCTTCCCAGCTTCTACTCATAACTATTGTACCATCCAGTGATTCTCTGTTTTTAACTTATATGTATGAAAGGGACACGCAATATATGGCTTTCATCATCTGACTTAACAGGTTCTCTAGTTCTATCCATTTTGTGACAGATGAAATATTATAAATTTGATG